AAGGGTCTAGGCCCGAAACGTCAGCCTTCCTGCTCCTCTGATGCTGCTTGGCCTGCTGTGTTCATCCAGCTCTACACCTTGTTATCCAAGCCTTATCAGTGATGCCAACATCATGTGAAAGAACAAAAAAAAAGCCGCAAACAAGTCCACGAAAGGGAGAAGAGAGCCATAAGTACCTTCAGCCCTTTAACCTTGCTCCTCCATTCAATACAACTCTACTTTCCTATCTGCTGTCTTCCATCTCTCACCCCATAATCCAAGATTCCTTTGTCAATTGAAAAAATCTCTCACTTGGCTTTAAATAAATTCAATGACCCAACCTCCTTTATGCAAGGGAATTCCCCAGACTAAGCCTGAAGAAAAAAAATCTCAAGTCAATAAAAAAAAAGCTCTTGCACTTAAAACTGTGTGCCCAAGTCATCATCTCATAAAAGGATATCTACACATTAAGTGTCCTCAGGATGACGCATGTTTCAACAAGACCCCTTCATTCTTCTAAATTCCTACAAGTGTAGACCCAATTTGTTCAACCTTTCTTCGAAAGACAAGCCCCCTTTCTCAGGGATCAGTAAAGAGAATTTTCCCACATGTTTCTTGCAATTATATTTTGTCTCTTCAAGTATTGGCTCACAAAGAGTCTGCAGGAAAAAACTTCCCAGTGTCAACCCAAGCAGGAAACCCCCAAACAGGGGAGAAAATAACACAATGAGATTTCAAAGTAATTAACAAGGAACAAAAATAAATTTTAAACTGTGAAGAGTTGTTTGGAACAGAAATCGGCATTAAAGGTTGAACTGTTTCTTTTTTAATTTAAAAAAGCATGCTAAGGGGAGCAAGGCTAGGAACTGCAGTTATGTGATGATTTGATGTGACAGTAGACAGCAAAGTCTAAGACACAAGTCCCATTTATTAAATAAACGGGAGAAGGTTAATGGAGGAGTAGGGATACAATTTTGTTTCAAATAGTTGGGAAGATCACCACAAAATCTTGGAAAGATCCTTAGTGTGGTACTTCTAAAAAGAACCAATAAACAAAGCTGAAATTTTCAAGCAGAGAAAAGGAGTTTAGGAAAACCACAACACGAGATGGAAGTGAGCAATCCACAGCAGAGGTGGTTTAAAAAAAAATTGCAAGTAACTAATAATAAAAGAAATCTCATTTCCAAGTGTGTATACAGCATATTTCCTTGTGAACACTAAGAAAGCATTACTTAAGATTACAGAAACAAATTTTTGAACAGGAAAACAAAAAAGTGGACCATTCAAGAAACCATAGCATGATAATGTACTGGATAAAAATGTGGTCCGACTGCTAATACGTTGAAAACCTCCACCACTAGATGCCTTACCATAACAAGAATGGAAAGTTAAGCATGAAAATTAAACTAGGTATGGTACTATTTATAACTGAAAACTGCAACAAAAAAAAAAGAGTTTCTCTGTAATGAGGTGAGAATGTGTTGTTTTCTCTATTTGATCTAGGTATCAAAAGAAAGCTCAAAAACTCAAAAGCACGTGGTACTTAGGCATTAAAAAAAACTAATCCTCAGTTGTTCAGCAACCTTGCAACACTTCAGCTTAAAGTGCAGTGCTTATAACCTTGAGAGCTTGCTTTTATTTATCAAGTCTGCATCAACTCCCATGTGACGTTTTCGTGGTCACCAGCACAGGCAGAGTTTCAAACAAGCTGGAAAGTAAGCCAGAGTTTGATGAAAGGAAGCCATTGACAAACTTATGCAAAATTACGATGGCTGTTATTTAAGTGCAAAGTCAGTCTTGGAGTTTGTTTTACCAATTTTGAAAGGAGCCAAAACCTGGTATTGGGAGGTAATTAAATCAAAATAATGTAGGTAGGGAAACCCGGAGTATTAATTACGTTTGGTATTGCAAAAGTAAAAACTTTGTGTATTACTGATAGCTTTGAATGATGGCACACTTGAATGATTTTCCAACCAAGCCAAAAACTGTTTCTCGAAGGAACTTGGACAAATCCATCCTTTATTGAAGTGGATAACCAAAGATATGGCCAATGCTTTGGGCAATTTCTGCTCAATAAATGGAAATATTCTTGTGATCTAACGGTAGCAATCATCGATCAACTGACAGTTGCAAGAACAATCGCCAAAACCTTTAAAAGGATATTAAGATTGTAACAAAAACTACATGAGGAAGTTGAGACTACCTCTTCAATTGCCTGTTCCTACTCTACCAACCCTACCACCTCACCCAAGATCAACACTCTGTGGATCCTCTGAATTTCTTATTCTGTTCATGTGTTCATAATCCCTTTCAACTCTGGGCCTCACTAGTCACCTTAAATCACTGACAACATCCACACACTTTTCGGTTGCCTTTTGTTAGAATTCTTTCAAGCTGATTTCTGACTCTCACACAGACTCGACCTTGGTCAATGTCACCTTCTTACTTATGCTTACCCTTGGTGATACACCTGTACAACTCTTCCCCATCATTCACCTTTTTGGATTTTCAGTCCACCCTCAGGGAAATTTCAGGATGCGATTGGATTCCATCCTTAGCAGCTTTCCATTGCTCGTGTTTTGTCAACATGTGTAAGCATTGTGGCCCAGTTATCATGACATAACACAATTTTACTATTACTCTCTGGCAGGAATTGTGAGATCCCAGAGTTAGTGAGCTTGAAGGTGGGAAGGGCACTGAATTATGCAGGATGATGACATACTCACTCACCTTCCTGGATCAACCAGAATTTGTTTAGGAAATTCAACAATCAAATGTGTCCCCAACACCCTACAAACTAAGGTCCTTAAGTAGCCAATAAAGACTACTCAAGGACTCCTGCTTACCACTTGACAGAACTGTGATTCATCAGATTATTATTTTTGTTTAATATTGCACCACTTCCAACAGGCTCCTCAAAGCTCAAGCCATCAAGTATGTACTTTCATTTCCCTAAACTCCTACCTTCGCATTCACAACAGGGCATTTCCCTACATTAAAGGAAGAGCTTCAAATTAAAGTAGTGGTAGTACAGCCTGCTTTTGAGTACAAAACGATCAAAAGGCATAACATTTTCTTTAGAATTCAACAGACAACACAACAGCAGAGCAGAGTTGTTTTGTTCTCACCAGTAATCAGTCCACCAACTGGTTTGATACTATGGAACTGCTGGTCATGCTTGGCTCTTTCTTCCACGGTAATGGCGCAGATATCCAGGCCCGCTGTTTCAAACAAAAAACAAATCGTCAGTTCATCAACCGATGATTTTCCCCTCTAGGTTCTACTAAAACAGAACTAAAACTCAAAGTAAGTGGGAATCTGGTGGGAAAAACAAACTCATCACAAACTTCAGCAAAGCACAACCAGATGGATGAAATCCAACAATACATTCTTGCAACCAGCAGCATGCCTTAAAACTCATCTTGCCTTAATCTTTCCCAGTAATATTTCTAGATCAGCTTGATGAACATGGAGGTCAACCACAAGAATTTTCCATGAAGTTTTATCAGACAGCGATATCTGGAATCAAGCGTACAGCTGTATTCCAACAAAAAGGTACAAACTGAAGAGTAAAAATGTTAGGCCCCATGTGGATGCTGATAAAGAGAGAAACCACGAAAGTTGCACGTTTAAATTCTTTTCAATTCATTACGCGCAAATTTTATGCTTAACTTATTAAGACAGGAGACTGAGTGGACACACTTTTCATTCAAGAATTTTGAATCACCAGCTTTGTAATAAAAGTATGAAATTGGAACTCCCCACCAAGTTAATTTGACATCTCATTTTGCAAACATGAAGATCTTCCAGATACTGTAGTAGAGATAACCCTGTGGTTACAAGATGTGCTGGGTAACTATAGGTGCAAGCAAAAGGAACAATCAACCATGGTTAAAATTTTTTAAAAGGACCATGAAATTAATTAAATCTCCAGGACCTATGCTTCAATCATGCAACAATTATCTTGACTTAGTATACCAACTTCCTACGATTTAACACAAGTAGCATCATGAAGCATAGTTTGTACCATGCACTTGATACATCTCCCCACCCATGGTTGCTATTACTAAGCAATATGCATTTATCCACTCAAGAATCCATACTGTAGTAGGAAATTGTTGAGTATTATCAATGTTACTAATCTCGGAAAATTGAGACTCTTTCTTTTGTTCAAATAAAACTTCACTAATTTTCCAAATGGAGTTATTTTAATGAGTAACTACCCCTATAAGCTCATAAAAGACAGTACATATTTTGAGATTTGCATTACTCTGCTGTTAATTACACCAGTACTTCAGCATCCAAACAAAACTCCCTACATGAAGAAATTTTACGTGACTAGGAATCAATTTCTCAATTCCTTATCTTTGCTTTCAGTTGCACTTTATGCCTTTGCCCCTCCATATCTCTCTCCCCTCAGGATCCATAATCCACCAAAATACCTGTAATTGTTAAACTCTGGCTTCAGCATCGCAGATTGAGCAACATTGGCTTTCCGTGCTTTTAGGAACAGAAACAGTGAAATTAATACATGACTCAATGGACTTGTGTAGGAGAAATGGGTTACAGTCATACAGCATGGAAACAGACCCTTCAGTCGAACTTGTCCATGACGACCAGGTTTCTAAACTAAACTAGCCCCACTTGCCTGCATATGGCCCATATTGCTCTAAACCTTAGCTATTCACGTGCTTATCCAAATGTCTTTTAACTGTTCTAATTAGACCGGAATCTACCACTTCCTCTGGTAATTCATTCCACATACAAACCACCCTGAGAAAAAGTCAGCCCTTGGGTCCATTTTAAAATCTCTCTCTTCTCAGCTTAAAAATATGCTCCCTGGTTTTGAACTCCCCCACAAAGCCCCTCACCCTAGAGAAAAGACCTTTGCTATTCACCTTATCTATGCCCCTTATGATTTTATAAACATCTACAAGGTCACCTCTCAACCTCCCATGTCTCAGTGTAAAAGAATGCCAGCCTATCCAGCTGCTTCTTGGTAACTCAAACCCGCCAGTCCTGGCAACATCCTGGTAAATCTTTCCTGAAATCTCTCCAATTTAATAATAAGGCGTCAGCGTGACCAGAACTGTACACAGTACCCTAAAAGTGACCTCACCAACATCCTGTACAACCTCAACATGACATCCCAATTCTTATTCTCTTTGGTCTTAACAATGAAGGCAAGTGTGCTAAACACTTTAACCACCATCTACCTGTGACACATCTTTCAAAGAACTATGTATCTGAACCCCTCTCACACAGCACTGTCATCAGTCCTGAGCAAAGTGAAGCTACATCATTGGGATGGTCTGCACTGTGCTGGGACTAGTATTCTAGCGAACTGTACTTTGCAAATCTACTATTTGCATATCTAACAAATCTAGTAATGGAGGAAATAGATAGTAACAGACTAAAGGGGCAGATTTAAAACAGAAATGAAAGTTTTATTTTCCCAGAGGAAAGTGAATATCAGAAATTCTTTTCCCAGAGGCTATATCACAAAGTATTTAAAGCAGGATGTAGACAGCTCTCAATTCACTGTCAAAAGTATACGAATGAGCAGGTACAAAAATGGAATTGAGGTCTAGGGCAGATCAGTCATGATCTTTTTGAATGGCAGAGCTAGCTTGACAAGCTGACTGGCCCGCTCCTGCTCCCATTTCTAATGCTTTGGAGAGGGCTTTGAACTAAACAATGGGAGTGAACAAACAAGCTTGGGTAGGTACAGTAAATCAAGCGGTAGAGTCCAGACAGGACTGCAAAATATGACAAATAGGGGTCAGAGTAGCAGGAAGGATCAGAGGTTCTAAACCTAAGAATGGACCAACAGTCAAGGCTACATCTTAGAGGATAAAAAGACAAAACTAAAGGCTCTACAGGCGAACGCTTGCAGCATTCGTAAGGAAGTGAGCAAACTGATGACATTCATTCAAGTAAATCAGTATGATCTGGTAGCCATTACAGAACCATGGATGCAGAGCTGCAAGGATGGGTCCTGAATATTGAGGGCACCAATGATTTTGCAGGGAGGTTTGTTAATTCCATGCAGGATGGTTTAAATTTAAGCGGCAGGAGGGTAGGAAATGAAGCTGTAGGTCAGCACGTAGAGTGATTGAGGACAAAGTCAACATTAAATCCAGTCAGTCTAATGGAAAGAACAGGCAGGATCAGAGATTAATAAACACAGTAGGATTGGCAGTCTTGTGTATTTATTTAAATACAAGGAGTATAACAGCTAAGGCAGAGGAGCTTACAGCTTGGGACTACAATGTTGTAGCCATTACAGAAACTTGGTTGAGAGAAAGGTAGCACCAGCAGGGTTCAGATGTTTCAGGCATGATACAGAGGAATGTAAAAGGGGTGTGGGAGATGCATTATTGATTATGGAGAATGTCACAGCTGCGTTGAGAGAGCATCTTAGACGGCTCATTCAACGAGGCCATATGGGTTGAATTTAGGAATAAGAAAGGTGTAGTCACTGTGATGGGGTTATACTATAAAGGCTCTCAATCATCGGCTAGAGATAGAGGAACAGATATGTAGGCAGATCATGGAAAGATGTAAAAGCAGCAGAATGGTTATTGCTCAGTGATTTTAAACTTTCCACTATTGACTGGTACTCTTTTTACTGCCAGGGGCTTAAGTAGGGCATACTTTATAAGGTGAATCCAGGAAGTCTTTGTTTCCATGCTGTATAAATCTATGACTCTACATAGATAGTCCAACAAGCGAAGGGGCTGCACTAGATCTTGCACTGGGGAGTGAGCCTGCCCAGGTAATCAAAGTTTCAGTGGGGGAGTATTTTGGGAACAATGATCATAATTCTAAGTTTTAAGACAGTTATAGTTAAGGATAAGTCTGGTCCTTGGGTGAAAGTGCTAAATTGGGGGAAGGCTAATTACAATATTGTTAGGCAGGAAGTGGAGAAATTGTATTGGAGCCAGCTATTTGAAGGTAAATCCACATCAGACATATGGGAGTCTTTTAAAGACCAGCTAATGAGAGTTCAGGACTGTGATAAGATAAGATAAGGACGGCATGATTCAGGAACCCTGGATGCCCACAGATATTGGAAGTTAGTCAAAAAGGAAAGGGAAGCATAATTAAGGTTTGGGAAATTTAAAATCAAATCAAGGCCTTTGAGGAATATAAAGCAAGCAGGAAGGCTGAAAAGAGCCATGAAATGTCCTCGGCAAGTAGGATTAAGAAGAGTTCTAAAGCATTTCACAGTATTTTTGGAGCGAAAGGGCAGCTGGGGAAAGAGTAGACCTGCTCAAGGATCAAGAATGGTATGTAGTGGAGCCAGAGAAAGTAGGTGAAGTCCTTAATAAGTACTTTACATTGGCATGGATGATGGTAAGTTTAGGGATGGATATAGCAATATTCTAGAGCATGTTAATATTGAGGAGGAAGTATTGAGTGTCTTCAAAAACATTAAAGTATAACGGCCTGATGGGATCCATCCCAAAATACTGCAGAGGCAAGGGAGGAGATTGAAGGGGCCTTGACAGAGATCTTTGTATCCTCTTTTGTCAGTCAGGTTCCAGAAGACTAAAGAAGAATGAATGTTGTTTATTTGTTTAAAGAGGACAACAGGGATAATCTAGGAAATTATAGGCCAGGGAACCTTACATTAGTGGTAGGGAAATTATTCAATAAGATTCTTAGGGAAAGGATTTACTTGCATTTGGAAAAGAATGGACTTATTAGGGATAGTCAACATGGCTTTGTAGCAGGGAGGTCTTGACTTATAAATTTGATTGAGTGTTTGAGGAAGTGACAAAGATGATTGATGAGGTAGGGCAATGGATGCAGTCTACATGGACTTGACTAAATTATTTGACAAGGTCCCTCATGGTAAACCGGTCAAGGAGATTAAGTTGCATGGGATCCACAGTGAATTGCTAAGTTGGATAGAAAATTGGCTTGGTCAGAGAAGTCAGAAGGCAGTTATGGAGGGGTGATTTTTCTGACTGAAGGTTCAGAAAGGATCATTGCTGGAACTTCTGTTGTTTCTGTGTGTTATATTATAGAATATGAGAGACACACACACATACAGGATATATAAATGATTTGGATGAAAATGTAGGTGGTCTCATTGCTAAGTTTGCAGATGACACAAAAATTTGTGGAGTTACAGACAGTGGGGAAGGTAGCCAAAAGATACAGCAGGATATAGAGCAGTTAAAAGTTGGGCACAGAAAATGGCATTTAATCC